TGCAGGCATAATTTTATTTCACATTTGATATTACCGTTAATACTCGCATATTTTTAAGTTTTAATTTGGAAAAAACATTTTTAGTTTACTTTTGAGACTTTTAGAAAAAAAACTAACTTAATGATATTTATGTTAATACATACCACACACATATATACCACATATATAAAGAATATGTGCGTTGAATAGAAAATACTTGAATATTTGGTATTTTAGGTGAATTGTATTTCTTCGATTTTTAAAAATAACTACTTTTATTAATGAAGAAATGGTGTTAATAAATTGTATTATACAACTTAATTTACAATGTATCTTAAACATATAATATTAATAACATTGTGAGTTGAAATACGAACAATAGAGCAAATGTTTTAATTAAAAGTTTGAATACCAAGCAAAACATGATGACATGCACACAATATTTTTGGACGTTGTTTATAATAATCTTAAAAGGAAATAGTTAGATAGATAGATAGATAGATAGATAGATAGATAGATAGATGAATCAGATAAAACAATTTTTAATATTAAAAATTGTTTTGCCCAAGAGAGTAAAATTACTTAAAATCTGAAAAATTTATACTCTTTCCCTGGTAACAATGTCTCCGACAGATAAAATATTTTCTCACAGGGTCACAGTTTTAAAATACATTTAAGAAAAATGCTTATTATAACAAGACCAGATACGGGAGAACAGGAAATACTTAACTGTATTTCGACTTTAGTGTTACACCACTAAAAATTTTATTTTTCTCAGAAAAAAAAAAAACGAACCGAAAAGAAAGAAAAAATATTGTTATTCGTTGAACCAAGATTTTGGTAAGGTTTGGTCCGAGAGTACATGATGTTGGAAATTGGTAAAGTAGATCTCTTTTTTTCAATTTATTTTTGTTATGGTAAAGGTCATGAAAAAAAATAATAAGAAATAATACTTAAAAGATGCTTTTTTTAAAAGGTATGTATTTAAAAGACTATTTGTTTCCTGTTAAAAAATGTCCACTATTCTGCAGATCTTAAACTAATTGTGGGGCAAACCCATATGTAGTCGAATTATTATTTAAAAAAGAATAAATTATTCTTGGCATATCCTTGTTGCAAAAATCTACCTACATTAAAAAGTTACTGCCACTATTTCAGAAAAGTTTCTTTCTCTGAACATGTTTCTCATTGTCATTACTAAAATACTTATTATTTTTCAATTTAAATCTTTACAATTCAAAATTCTAAATTTATAAATAAAATTTAAAATTTTGTTTTTGGTTGGAATTTGGTAATTTTAATGTATTTACTATCCGGTAAAACTGAAGGACATAAATTTAACTTCAAATATTTTTCGATTTGAGATTCCATATTGGCTTTTCAATTTAGGTCTTTATTCTGAACTTAAGAATTTCTGAATTTTTATTTCTTTGAAACTGAGTTTAAGAAATTAAACATATTTAATACCAGGAGGAAATTAAAGAAATAAAAATATGAAAAAGATTTGAATTTTCATTTCTGGTACCTAATCATATGACATATAATTATAATTTTGTTAGAAATTTTTTAACACATACACACACGCATATGGATGATTCTCACGAAATATGACAATTTGCAGTCTCTTGCTCCAAGATCTAATACTATACTACTAAAAGAACTTTTCTTTTTAAATTTTAATTAATAGCATTGCTGTTATCATTTTAAAATGACCTTGTACTAGCATCGACAGTTATGTGTATTTATAAAATTTAATTGAATTTCAAAATGTCATGTTTCTGGTATGTCACAAGCAATATTTCCAATAATAACTAGCTTCAAAACTTCTCATATATTTTTCAATATCTAATTTTTTTTATCTCAACCGTTGTAAGCATTTCTAGAATATACGGAGAGGGTATTACTTGCAAAAACTTCATTTAAAATAATTTTTTCTGTCAATAACTTGTTTGTCACAAGAAAATCTGTCATTTTCCTGACTACTTTTATTTAGTGATTTATAACCAAAATAGATAACGCCAGCAACAATATCTTATGTTAATAGATTGATTAGAAACCATCCTATCTTGAACAGGTCTTGTTGCATGAATAAGGAACCGACTTTCTGGTTCAAAATCTATTTCAAAAAATTTTTCAAGGTGAGTAGGTTTTTATGTTCTCATTTTCCTGTCTTCTTGAAATCATTAATAACATGAACTACATAGATTTATCTGAGTTATTTCAAGAAATCCTGTTGTTTTCTGTGGTATGTAAACTTCTTAGGCCAAAATGTTAAATTAAAGTAAAGTTAAATGCTATAAAATGGCAAATTTGTCATTATCCTGGCTGTCATTTTCTTGGCTTATGAATACCTGGACATTTAAGTGTTACCAGAAATTTTTTTATACAATTAAATGTAAAGAGAGAAAGCAAATATTAACCTAATAACAAGTTCATACAAAATTGTAATATGCTTGAATGTAATCAAAGTTATTTTTTTTTATTTAAGGATTGATTATTATACACAATTTTATTCTGTACATATCAGCAACAAAAACACTTTTGATTCTTTCTACAGTGGATAAAAAGAATTAATTTAAGCAATTTATGGTCCATCTAATATAAAGGTTTCAGTTAAGTTACTTACTATTAGCTTAAAATAACTGTTTTCTAAACTTCTAAGCTAATATGTTATTTTCCTGGCATTCAAGATTTGGTGAATTTCTATTTTATTTTTTTCTCCTTCAAATATCAATAAAGTACACTGCCGTCTGTAAGATATTAATAAATGTAACTAAATAAGTATACAAGAAAAATGTATATTATTTTGAAGACTTTAAATTCGAAGAAATTTTTTTGTCTGAATTGGAACGGAAATTTTGCTGCTGAAGTGCACTTCAGCAGTGCAGTAAGAACGACACTTTAAAACCCTCTTGTTATACTCAATTTGCTCTTTTGTTTTCATATTTTGTAATCTGGCAATCTTTCTGCCAAAACATTTTTAAATCATTCTTGAAAAATTTCCGTCCATGTAAGTTGATCTGATTTCGCTACTCGCTTTATAGTACATTTTTACTGTTTTTTCTTTTTATTTTATTATATTTTCTGTTTTTACATGTTATTTTTACTTATTTTTACTTTTTGTGTTCTATTTTATTTGTTGCAATTTTTATAAAAAAATTTTTGAGTGCTCCTCACACTATTGTATTAATATATTTTGCTTTGGCTTTATTGATACAATATCAGAAAGCACTCTGTTTTACGGATATAATCGTGTGGGCTGATGAAAAGATTATATCTTTTTTTCCGGGATTTTTGCCGGTTTTTTAAATAAAATTTTATCCTTTTTTTTTAAACTGTTGTTTGTTATTTTTTTACTTATTACTTATTTCCCCCCCCTTTTTTCATATGTCTTTAATTTCTCTTTGTTCATTCTTTGTTCTTCATTTTGAATATATTTATATATATATATTTATTTATTCACCCCCTCCTGCAAATACATTCACTTGTTAATCACACTTTTTCTTGTATACACCTAATAACATTTTTGCGAAGTTTTTGCAGTACTTTTCATTAAACTCTTACTTAAATAAATTATAAACCTAGCGAAGAATTTGAATAGCTAAAAAGCAAACAGAATGATTTTTTTATAGGAATTAGGGCAGCCTAGAAGGAGTTTTAAGAACAAAATATTATATTAAAAAAAAATTTCTTGAGTACCTTTAGAAAAAAAAATCAGAGCAAAATTTCCTTACAAATAACTTTAGAAAACTCTGCTTCTTTAAATAAAATACAATTTAACTTATTTTAAATGTAAAATTGGAATAAAAGTTGTTTTCGTGTTAAGTAAATAAAACTATCAATAGAAAAAATTTTCAATAATGAATAATTCTTGAGCAAACACATATTTTAGAAGCATATTTCCTTAATAATCGAAATTAGAACTTTTTTTTTTATTTGTCTCCAATGGCAGGGAATACAAACAATAACACAGAGGAACAATAAAAATGGAAAATAACAAAACACCGAAGTCATCTTCCCAAAAGCTCTCTCGCACGCCAATATCTTGCTGTCTCCGAGTCAAGTCAGTGGAGACTCCTACAGCAGCAGGATATGGAGGTGCTCTTTTTTCATTGGTGCTCCAGAACCACACAGTTGACACTGAGGGTGGTCATAAATACCTATATGATGCAGGTGTTCTCCTAGACAATCATGACCTGTTAGGAGTGTAAAGGTGGCTACTGCATCTCGGTGAGGCTTATCTGGTACTGCCTTAATATCTGTCTCACTCCAGTTATTATTCCTTATGCTTTCTCGTAGGTCAGCAAAGGCATTCATTTTCCTTATGATTTTTATATGTAGTTTTATGGAATGGTATGACAATCCAGAGCAACTTGGTTGAAGGTTTTGTGTTCCCTTGCGAGCAAGAAAGTCAGCTTGCTCGTTAATATAGGTGTTACAATGGCTGGGAATCCACTGGATGACTACTTTTTTGTTTTGTAGTGCCAAAAGTCTCAAACAAGAGCAAGTCCCGTTCTTCAATAATGGTTTGAACAGGTCTGTTATTTGTCAAAAGTAGCATGGCTTCAATTGGGGTTGTTTTAACCGCACCAGTCTCTACTCTCAAAGTCCTATTTTGAATAATTTCTAAGCCCTTAAGAGAACTCTCCCTGCATGTTATGAGTGATTCGCAACAGTAAGTTATCAGAGGCAGGATAAAAATTTTATAGGTCAAATTAAGAGTCGATCTTGCGCATCCCCTAATTGATCCTGCTAATCGTTTCAGAATGTTGATTCTGCTGAGCACTCGCTTAGTCAGCATTTCGATGTGTGGCTTCCAACTTACTTTATTGTCGATAATTACGCCTAGGTATTTAAACTCGTTTGTAGTTTTAAGAGTGGTGTCGCGATAAATCAAGTTAGGGCAGAAGGCCTGGTGGGTTAACGAAAAGGACTGCACACCAGTTTTATTTAGGTTAACGATCATATTATTTTCCGTGCGCCAAGTCGAAGGAGTTTCCAGTGCTTGGTTTAATCTTTTCTCACTCATAGCTCCTGCATTCTTTTTTTGGTGCTTGTGTCCATATAATCAAATCATCTGCAAAAAGGAGGCACTTAATATCTTCTATTGATTCCAGAGATGAAACCAAATCATTAATGGAAATGCTGAACATGATGCAGCTGCTAACTGCTCCCTGAGGCAAACCAGTCTGGAGATTATATGATCTAGAAAGCTTGTTGCCATATTTGAATTCGCATAGGCGCTGGTCAAGGAAAGACCTCATCCGATGAAACATTTTACCATTAATACCAAACTTCAGGAGTTTCTTGCATAGACGGTCTCTACACACTAAGTCGTATGCATTTTTGAAGTCAACATAAACTGCAGAACGGATATTTCTGCTAACCAATGAATCTTTTACGGTTTGACCAAAGAGGGCAACCTGTTCATTTGTTGATCGATTCTTGCGAAATCCAGCCTGCTGCATAGCAATCAAACCATTTTTTTCCAGATACCAATTTCATCTATTTATTACAAGCCTTTCCCTAGTTTTCCCCATTATGCTCGTCAGCGAAATCGGTCGGTAACTCTCAATTTGTCTCACATCTTTATCTTTCTTCGGAGTCGGTATAATTGTAGCTCTCTTCCAAATTGAGGGAATAAATCCAGTGTCCCAGATACAGTTGAAAGCTTTAAGGATGGTCTTCTTTGACTACACACCTATATATTTTAGGAATTCTCCATGAATATGGTCTGCACCAGGAGATTTCTTCATAGACAGCTTATTTATACCAGTGTGTAATTCCTGGTAGTTGAAAGGAACACTGAAGATATCATTAGAGTCAGCACCTTCAAAGTTTGTCTTAAGAGCATTATTGCAAGTTTTCTTTAAGTGTTTTGACATTGATCGGGCATACGTTCTTTTCTTCTGAATTTTGGCTTAAGTTTGGCCAAAAGCATTAGCTATATCTTTGTCATTAGTTAATACTATGCCCATATAGGTCATTGGCTCTTTTCCAGTGGAGGGCTTCTTGTTTTGCAGATGGGACAGAAATTTATATGTTCTTAAGCTATCCTCTCTGTAGTTTATATTGGATACAAAACTATCAAAAGATTTTCTCTTGACCTCCAGAATAGCCTTTTTAAAGGATGCTGCTTGTCTTCTCCAGGAAAGGACATCATCCGGTCTCTTAGTAAGAGCAGCCTTATTTCTTAGGCGACCTCGTATTTCCTTTTGTTCTTTTAGATCTTTAGTCCAAAAGCATTTGTATTTATTGATTTTACCCCTAGGAATGGAGAGTTTTGCACATTTTAAGATCTCATTATTGATTTTTGGAATAAGTTTGCTGGGGTGGTAGCTAAAATCAAAGTTTTGCTCATGGAGTTCATCGTTAGTTAGTATTTCATATTTCTTCAGGTCAGCCTTTTTGAAGTTCCATGATGAGAAGCTGTGTTCTTTAACACAGCCCCAGCTCTGAGGTAGGTTTATTGTTGAGAAAACCTGCCTATGTCCCGAACCAGGGTCATCGATAACTCTTCCCTCGGTAAAGATACTAATATCAGAAGATACACATAAAAGATCAGGAGAGCTACCACTACCATTGTAATGTATATACGTTGGAGAGTCATCAGAATTATATATAAGATCAAGGGAACGAGGATTCAATAGATCTTCAACCTCCAACCCTGCAGCGTTATAGTTCTTATATCCTCATCTCGTAGAGTGGGCATTAAGGTCACCAAAAACGATAGTCTTTTGGGCGATGTCAATACATGACAGATTAGGTCTACTGGCAGGTGGAATGTACACAGCGTATATTGTAAAATGGCAACCCTCTTTCCAGACATTGGTCTTGGTGATTTCACTTTCATCTGCAGCTTCACCCATTTCCTTGCAGGTTTCAAAATTTGCCGTTAACTCATTCCTAACTCCAACTAATAGGCCACTAGCTACTCTCCTGAACTTTGGTAGAAGATATTAGTTATAAAAATGTAATAATCATTCTGTAATATTTGCCTCCATAATTGTGAAGACATCAATGTTTTGTTGCTTAAGGGTTAGGTTTAACTCTATTTTCTTTGACTGTGAGAAACCACCAGCATTGCTTTGCAATATATTCAGCTCCACTTCTTTCTTCCTCTGATTCCGCCTAGCATAGGAGTTGCGAGGATGCATGTCGAAAGTTGTAGACCACTTAGCCGCACAAAGCGTTGTCCAGGGTACACCACGAGGAGGTACTGTGTACCCCTCGAAATTAGAACTTTGATGAAAGAATTTAAAAAGACTACTTCAATAAATCAAGAATTAACAAAAGTATAGATAGTATTAGTTTTTTAATTTTTAAAAGATTACCCCCTGCCTCGAAAGTTATAATGCTTACTAAATTGCAGGCTATCAAAATACAGTTCTTGAAAGTAAAAACAATGTTTCTGAAATTTGGATTAGTTTAAACAACAATTGAATTTTTCTTTTTGCATCCATGGATTTCTGGTTTTGTCTTCTATACGTTTTCACTGACCAATCATTTCAGTCATTAGACTGATCATTTTAAGGATCATTAAGGCAACGAATTTAGCTGTACACTTTTCATTATTTTGTGATTTAAATAAATTAGTAAATATCATCTAAAAAAACTTTCTCTTTCAGTGAATGAATGTAGGACATGAATGCTTTAAAGTTCAAAATATTAATGATATAAAATACATATGTTGGCTCATTTATGTTTAAAAACTGCAAACTCGAATAGAATTCGAAATTTAGTTTATATAAAAACCGTATCAGGGCTAGAAGTTATAACTTAAATTAAAATACAAACGTTTTTTTTTCACTTCCTTATCTTTTCAAAAATGAAAATAATAATAAACGTAATTTCTAAATTTAAAATTTAACTGAAAAATGCCACTGTTTCAAAAATTTTGTCCAATTTCATGAAAGTAAAATTTTATAGAATCAAAATATTTAATGTAGAATTTAATAGAATGTTTTATGGTGAATTTAATAAAGTTGAAACATAGGATTTTTTAGATACTTTTTCTACATCTAATAAATACACAACTTATCTGCCTATATTATAAATATACCACAGTGTACATATGAAAAATTATCAAAGTAGTTAGACAAAGAAAGTGGTAACATTATAAGGTTATAAAATATTTTCTCTATTTGAATATTGATAAAGTATTTTTTTTTTTTTTAGTCGTATTTATTATTTTTTGTTATAACAACTAGATTAAGATTGAGCCTTAAAATCTGCTCCTTCTGATTACAGCCACGCAATTCATTTGAAAATCTGGTAAATTCTATAAAACTTTATCATAACTTTAAAAAAAAGAAAAAAAGGGAATAAATATTATATGAATTAACCATTTTCAGAGTGGCAGAGTAAGAAGAAAAAAACTATTTTATTATTAAAAGGCTTACAATTCTTATTTTGTTTACCTAATTTGAAATACTAATCATACAAAAAACTAATGTGAATTAAAGCAAAAATATTTCCGTTACAGTGAACAACCGATATTGACGCGATGTTATTTTCCCTGAAAATGTCACTTAACCGCTTAATCAACTAAATTCTGCAATTGGAATACTTTAATTTATAATGAAACAGCTTATGTTCATTCAAAACATAAATTAATTTAGATTTCTTACATTAGATTGGTATGGGAACAAAAGGAGATATATAAACTAAATGTTGTTTCAAAATATCCTTTTTGTTTCGGATCTATCAACCATTAAATTCATATTTTCCTGTTTAAACCATGAAATCAGAGCCTTTCATGGTTCCATGAAAAACTCTGATTTGTTCCACCAGCACTAATAACGAAAACACAGAGATTCCTTTTAGGTCTGTGGTAGCTGCAGATAGACAAAGCGAATTTTTTATTCGTCGAAATGTCGTCTATAAGGATTTTTTGCGTTTTACTCGAGAAATCTGAGATGGTGAGGAAAATATAGGGAAACAATGCCATGAAAAGGGCCGTTCACAAACGTTTTCATAGAGATCACATCCTTCTTCATGAAGATCCTTCGTTTCATCAAGCATTTTCATGAAGATCTCACCCTTCTTCATGAAAATCCTTCGTTTCATCAAGCATTTTCGTGAAGATCTTTTTCTTCCACCGCTGGAGAAAATGTTGAGCGAGAAATCGTGAACAGACGAATAACCATAACTTGGTATTTCGTATGGTATTGTTCCCATCATGATTCGAATATGGATCGTGTTTCTTTGCACATGGTTCCAAAAATGTTATCACCCGAACAGTGAGAGTGAAAGCTCGCTTAACATGGCTAACACTGGCTTAACATGGCGAGATTAACATGACTGCTTCTTGAAGAAAATCGTGACAGGTAATGGGACATTCTTTACGACCCTCAGAAAAAACGCCAAGAAAGTGAATAGAAAGCAAACATCACCAAGAAAGACAAAATTTTGCTTGGACAATGAGGTGTTTTTCGATAACGAGACCATCATTCACTACGAATTTATTCCTGAAAAAAAACAAAAGCATTCACATCAAACAATGCTAGAAAAGGTTTTCTTTAATTATAATATATTTTTAGTCGTTCATTGCATTAAAAGATAAAAAATTATGCTAAACATTATTGTCATGGCAAAAATGCAAATACTTAAAATAATGTGATCCAAATTGAGTGGTCCATATATGAAAAAGTCGTATGTGTTCATACAAAATGTTTCGTTCTTTCCGACCATTTAAAATGTTTCCATTAAATATCTTTATTTTAATTTTAAATCCTGTACCTATTGTTTTATTTTATTTTATATCCGTCGTTGAACAGGTTCCAATTACCACTGCTAATGCTTGGGTTTACCACTGCTAATGTTCAACTACACTACGTAGCTTTGTAATTTTAAACCCAATCCAGAAGACAAGGGAACTCCTGGATCGACTATTGGGAGAAATTTGCCTCCGTGGAGAACTTTTTGATGGAACTAACCCGCATTTGCGTTACATGGAGAGGAAGAATACGAGAACCTCCCACGGTTAGCCTGACGGCAAGGGGACTCTAACTCAGGATCTGTCTACCACTGAGGATATTTCACGTCAGCAGTGTGGTCGGTGCAAGCTGGATGCGGAATTCGTATCGACCAGCCATCGCCGGGATTCGAACCCGGTTCTCCTAATTGGTAGGCGAACGCTCTATCCCCTAAACCATCGAAGAAAAGGTAGCTAACATTAGAATATATCCATGTAGTCTAACACATCACTTGAGAAAGCTTCTTCAAGAGAAAATGTGAAAACTAAAAGGATAAATGAAAGAATGAGAGAAATGCAGAAACGATCCCTCATGTCTCAAGGGAAGAGAAGAAGGGAGTCGCAAATAGGCGTGCTTTCTTGTCTTGTTAGTCTGCAGAAAAGACCCATAAAGCGTGACTTCTCCACCAGATCGATGGAATCGATTCTCCTCTTCCACATCTTCCGGTGAGGAGTTTATATTCTCTGTGTTATTATCACAAAAATGACTTC